ACCCGGGCCTCGAGTCCTCGCCTGGAGGCGGCGCGAGAAGGCGCTGCTAGCGCAGCTCTGGGCGCTGCAGGGCGAGGTGCAGCTCACGGCCCGCAGGTACCAGGAGAAGTTCACCCAGTACATGGCTCACGTCCGCAACTTCGCCAGGGACCTGGGCGGCGGCCACGGCCCGGTAAGCGCAGAGGGATAGGGCACCCGGGGAATGGACCATAGGGGTGGAAAGAGGAACCCTTCTTTGTGGTGCTTCACGATTCCTGCGAAAGGTGATATCCTTCCTTATTATGCAGTAGGAAGCATCCACCCTCCTTGATCATACTATACTATTACCTTTCGAGTGTATTAGTATTGCAGTGTATTAGTATCGAGTATATTAATATTAACAAGGATAGTCCCCTTTCTACTTATGTTTAGATTGGAAAGAGTTAAACAGTTTCAGTTTCAACTTTTCCATGAAGAAAGAATTAGGAAAACTCATTTTCCCACTCAGACCCTTGCTCTCTGTCTTTCAGTCTCCTGCCTTGCCCTCTCTGCCTAGTTGCACCTTTGGCCTGTGCCCGAAGTCAGGGAAGGGAAGCCGGGTAATCTCCGACCCTTCCTGCCCTCTCCTACTGCACCAGCATCCCTGTGGCCTTGTCAGTCCCACACCTTTGGCTCTGAATGATTTAGTTGCCCTGCCAAACTGTCCATATCAGCACCTTCTACTCAGTGCAGGAACTGTTAGGGATGTGGGGAACTAGACTGACTTTGAGTTGAGAGATTAAAAGATGGTGTTTCTTAGACCTGCAGAGTTCTTTTCATTATCCAGAATTTCCCTAAATAATCCTCCCTGTTTTAGGGTTTCATTATTGGTGGAGTGTGTGTGTGTGCACGCGTGTGTGAGAGAGAGACAGACAGAGACAGAGAGACAGAGACAGGCTTGGGGAGCTAAGTGAGAGCAGCCACATCCATCTGTGGTCAGACAAGCCCCCGGGCAGCGGCTGTTTCCCTTCTTTGTCGAAGCTGCTGGCCCCAAACTGTGCTGGTGGACTGCCCGCTTTCAGACGGAATAAACAAGTCTCTTTGCAGCACCCCGTGTGAAGAGGCTTGTTTATAAAGCTGTTACTTCTCTTCTGGAGGACTTCTGCACAGTGTTTGACATTGTTGGTCGCTGCCATGGTGAGCAGGGATTTAGCAGAACTTGCACTCCATTCAAGGAGCTGTTTTCATTCTTCAGAGTCCTGCAGAGGAGCAACCCAGGATGATTCCCATTTGGGACTGCCTCCAACTCAGGCATCGAGTTGAGAAGCTTCTATACTTGAACCTAAAAAAGATAATTGAAATTTGAGGGGCTAAAATGTTTCCGCTCTGATAAACGGAAGTGCATTGCTTATTAAAAGACTGGATGGTATATGATTTTTTTTCTCTATCCTATTTATATCCAGGTAAAGTTAGAAAATGGGATGAGCCATAGAGAAGCACAGACATATCCTCTGTATAACCAGTTCAGGTTTCAAGGTCTTAGGGGAACAATGGTTGATGGAAAGGAGTAACAGCTAGAATTATGACAGAAGTCCATGCAACAAGTCAAGCTATGGTTCTGAGAAGTGAGGAAACACTGCCCATGATTTGTAGGCTTACTTATCACAAGGCTTCTCTGTGCTCCTCAGAAATGTTTTCCCACTACCAGTAGGGGCTGCTGTGTGAACTGCCTGGGAAAAACTCCTGGGAAAAGATGGTGATGATGGTTGCAGTGGTAATGATGCTTATGGCATTTTATCATTCAAAAGTAATTACCAAATGTATATTTTCCTAGGGTGGTTAATAATATCCATAGTCATAGATAAAACTCGTCTAGTCTGGCACTATTTCACATTATCTTTACTAATAAACAGGTTATAGATATAATTCCTATTTAACTCTTATTTGGCTATCATGAGAGAAATACTACGTAGCACGAATCACATTTTTTAAATTCTTCAGGAGTTATGCAAAACCAAATAAGAATACTATTTAAAATTAGGATTACTGTAATTTATCAGTCTTACAATAGTAATCTGAATATTACCATTCAAAGAAATTTATAAATAGCTCACTTTATTCCTTAAGACTTTCCAAAGGGAAATTTTTACATAAAGTAATTCTCAGATCCTTTAGCAATTTATTTTACTCCTCTATATTAGAGGGAAAGAATAAGAATACCTACAGGATTAAACCGAGAATCTGTTTTAAATTACAGTTAAGTCAAAATTAGATGATGAATGCATTAGAATAAAAGCTGCATATGTAAAGATGCAAAGCCATTTAGCTGAAAATAGTCATTTTTCTCACATGTGTGGTTGTTCCCTTCAAATACAGTTTCAAAATAAATGTAGAAAGAAATTAACCTCTTAAATTCAACCATCCTTAATTTTAAGGTTTTCCTCTTTTCAAATGTTAATTTATTTACAGTAAAAACAAAAAAGCTTTATTGTAGCATTTATTTTTTTCTCTTAGATTTTTACCTGGTTAGTTATTTTATACCTTTCCTTCTAGGTTAGAGACCATAAGCCATTCACCATTGTGTTAGAAAGAGAAAATGACACTTTGGGATTCAATATTATAGGAGGTCGACCAAATCAGGTAACCTACCTTGTTAACGCATAGCTCACTTTTTGCTTATAAAATAATAGCGACTTAGCTTTCATTTGTGATATTGAGTAAGAAAACAAATGATTGAAACTTTAAAATTATGCTCGTGATCAAATATCAGATGCCTTAATGCAAATACCTATTATTTTGAGGAAAAAAAAAAAACAGCTAACAAACTTGTTTATCTTTTCTACTTAAAAAAAAATACATTCGCATTTTATCTACATTGTATAGCCTTGTTGGCAAATTTCTTAAATAAACCAATTTCACAATAATGTATATAGGTAATTTCTACTTGATAATGTTAGGTAATTGCATTGCCTGCTTGTACTTCCTATTTATTAGTGAAATTAGTCAGTTTTCAGATGCTCACACAGACCAGGCAGTATATAATGTATGTTAAATGAATGAACAGTTAAAATAAGTTGAAATAAGGGATATCATTTTCACAATTACATAGGAAATGCTATGTTAAAGAACAATAGCTGATTTAAAATATTTTTGGCTCCCCAAATCAAATTCTTTATTTAACTGAATAAATAATATTTTCTAGATAGATAGCAATTGTTTTCAAAATGCATGGGTTATAAACTTATACTATACACTGTAGTTGCAAAGTTCTTTTTATACTACATCAACTTAATTTTTGCCATAACTAGGAAAAGGTGGTGAAGTTTTTAAAAAATCATCTTCTTTAATTTTCCCAATAAACTGCCATGAAATTTTTGCATCCTGTACTGCAGATGTTGTCCAAGGAAACTGTCTTAGAGTTGTTGGCCATATGCTCTGCTTGGGTCAGAATGGCAATGACATACTTCTTTGTGTTTAGTATTTCGAAAACCTAGCAACTAATGACTGCTGTGCTTCTGTTTCTAGTTTCTAGAACAGTACCCATTTATTATGAAAAGAGAGCTATGTCTTTTCATCATATCATTTTTGGTTTTTTTTTCCCCCTAAGGAATATTGTTATAAATGTTAGCTAGGTGTTTGACATTTAGAGGACATTGGTCATTTTAAAGAGCCTCTTAAAATTCAGATTAAGGAAGGCTAATTTAGGAGAAATAATTTTATTTAACCTGCCATGAAGTAAAATGACATTTAAAATTATATGATGAATCATTTTATGGGATGTTGGGCATTTTCAGTATATAAGTTCTGCTATATGATTGGTTTCCTGGGACTGGATAAAATGTCCTACTTGTACCATATTGGCTGTTTTAGGTTTAATAATCATCAGGCTCATTGCACCTGGAAATGTGTAAAGATTAGCCTTGAATGGGTTCTCTTGCAGGTTAGAGTGGATCTTTTGGGATTTCACACTTGAACAAGCTCCCAGTCTTCTCTGTGAATAGAAACAGTCAGAGCTATATTTCCAAATCTGACACATCATGAAGCTAAATTGTATTTTCGAAACTGTGACCACATCTCAAACCAATTATCTTGTGAAGCTAGATATGCTTTTTGTTTTCTTTAACTTATAACCCTTTTTAACTGCAACATCTTTTTAAAAGTGAGATGTTCTATAAACCATATTTAGGAGCCAGTTGATATCACCTTGTTGATATCACATGCCCTTTCCCCATAGCTTTTTATATATACTCAAAAAATGTGAGGTAAATAGATAATCTTGTCAGAGACGAAGAAGCTGCCATCTTGATTAATGACTGGTGTTAGTTAAAATTCAGTGCCAAATCCCCAGCTAAGATAGAGAGTTGCATGTTTAGAGAATATTAGCAATGTTACATTTACTAAATTGTCTCTTATCTAACTTAGAATTTTGTTTACATCTTTTTTAATGTTGTTATATATTTTTTTAATAGAATCGTCAGGAAGAAACATCAACAGAAGGAATTTATGTTTCAAAAATTTTGGAAAATGGACCTGCTGACAAAGCAGATGGCCTGGAGATTCATGACAAAATCATCGAGGTAAGACAATAATAAAAACAAATATGATCCATGGAAGAAATATTTGGATATTTTAAATTTATAAACTTATTGCTTTACCCTGGTGTGTTACTCATTAGAGTGTATATCTAACTAGAGTATATAGTATATATCTAATCTATATCAATTATTAGATGTTGGGATAAAATAATAAATCACCTGAAGTTTCCAAATGTTAATGAATATCTCTGTTTTAATAATTGCCCCTCCCCATGAACTATGAAGGTAGTTGTGTAATAATTAAGGGATTAATTTTTAAAACATTTCCAAAAAGGATGATAAATCTCTTGAAGGACATTTATGATGAGGAAATATTACTATCCTTAAACTTATGATTACTGTGTTATATGTAGTTTTAAATTATTTATACAATGCCTTTTAAAATTTCTTAGCTTAGTGTGGTTATCTTGTTCATGTCTTTTTTCATGAAAAAAAGAAGCAGCTTTTTTTTCTATTACAAAACCTTGGTGGGAACTCTTTTTTTTTCTAGTGTATATTGTAGCTGTATTGTTGTATCTGGGGTTTATAAAGTAAATAACTACAAGTTAGCGAAATTTGGGCTATGATAATGGAATTTTGGGTCATTAACATTCACTACTTCAATGCTTTTGACATTTCAACTGGTTGAGATAGTATTATTTGGTGCTACTGAAAATGATTAGGTTACTTTTGTCAATGGAGTCATTTCTAAGGCATAAATAGAAATTTGAAAGGTGTATTTGATGACTCCACTATTTTTTTGGAAAAATTCTATTTATTCTAGATTATATAATCAGTAGTGTTATCTTTCTGAATATTTACCTAAACTATCTTGATGGAGATTATTTCTTTTCTTTTTTTTTAAATTAAACTTAGAACAAAGTTTAGATCTTTATTTCTATGTTAAAAAAGAAAAAAAGTTGAATTTTGGGTAATTTAACCTAGGATAGGAGTAAACAGTATAGAAGAACCAATAGTTTTCTATTTTGAAGACAAAGAGCTCATAACATTTAGGAAATAGCTGACTAGGCACTTTGGGCAAGAGAGAAGAGTTGCCTTGGCTGAAAAACCATAGTTTTTATCTGAAGAATTCTCTTATATCAAGATTTTCTCCTCCAGTGTGTAGCCAGAAAAGTACAGACCTACTTTCACTGATGCTATCCAGTTTGTCCTGACAGTTTGCCTAGTGGAAACATTTATATGCTGCAGTTTCTAAAGTTAGAATTTTTCTATTTCTACTTGTGTTTGTGCAGTATGATTTAAAGGGCAACATATTTTAAACAAAAATTTGTCCTGATTACTTTCTGCCTTATCTCTAAAGCATTTTGTTTTTTCTAGTTAAATGGAAAATGAATGCCTACATTTGATAAGGTTTGTGGGAGCTGAATACATATGTTCAATTAGCACAAATAATTATACACAACAGAAACATGTACTGGGGATTTAAAAAGTAATTTGTTCTAGCTAGGTAACAATATTATGTATACCTCATTGATGTTGCATTAAAAAGAGGAAGAATTTGCCTTTTATATTGTTATATAGAACTTTTGTTAAAAATTTATTGATTTTGTTAATGTAAAGAGGTAATTTTATAAAAACTATTGTTAATAAATCAAGTGCATCTAGACATCTAATACTGTTACTAATATATGTCAAAATAACTTATTTAAATCATATAAGATAGAGATCAAAGAAATGAACCACAGAAATTTAAATTATAATTTATAACTAGCTGCAGTATTATTATTAGTTCCCCTTTATATGCATATATAAGCAGTTAATGACAACAGCTTAAAATTGCCTCAATGATAGAAATTTATCAATGTATCTTTTAATGCCAGAGTATACTGGTAATATACATATTTTTGTTGTAATTCTATAATAGATTCATATGACCACATTTGCAGGTAAGAAATGAGTTAGGTGACCTACATATTTCTGGAATGTTGTCTGTTAAATAGAATGAAAAATTTTAGAAGGAAGATTATTAGAACTAAATCTCTGATATTTAATTTTCAGTGATGCCATCAGCTTTTTAAAGCAAATAGATATTTGTGTGACTTTAATATGTATATTTAAACAAGTAGCATGCTTGTTCTTGAGCATATAAATGTGTAAGAGATCCCTATGTACCAATTAGAAATATCTGATGCTTGTCAATTATTTTAGTTCATCTGCCATTATGGTACCAGTCAAATTTACACATTTTATAGTAATGGGAAACTGATAAGAAATATATTGATTATCTTAAAACGTCTTAAGGCAGAAAAAACAGATTTTAAAATAGAGTAATTTTCATTTTTTGTGCTCAGTGATTTGTTTACTGAAATAATTTGATGGATTGTTTCTTTCAGTTTTTGAATTCCAAGTGGTCACGCTGATTTAAACCTGGTGCAACAAATAAATTTTTTAGCAAAGCAAGTGCACCCTTAGTTCATATACTATGAAACTATCCATATGACTTAACTGTCACAGTCTGACACATTACTAAGTACTTTGAATTCAGTGATATGTGACTGAAATAAAAAATAGAAACTGTTACACCATTTATTTTTTACTTACAGTCAAGATATGCTAAAAATATTTTAGCACCTTAATTGATTAAAACACACATTATAACAGGTTTATGAATTGTTCTTATAAAATAAAAAATTCTTAAACCATTCAGTTGAAGGAGAAAGTAGAAACGTTAAAAGTTTGGTTCTATTGATTAAAGAGATTTTACTAGTTCTAATAAAAATATTAGATACGACAATTTTGCCAAAGTTTAACAAAGACTAACAGTGCCCCAAATGTTATTTTTAATATTCTGCATTCCACTAAAGCTAATCAAATAAATTCAAGAATCATAAAAGAAAAAAATCACAGTGATGAGGTAAATCTATGTCATATTTTTCACATAATACAAGGCAAATTCATTTTTGGAGTCATTTTCCATGAGCAATCATGTTTACCCATTTCTAGATATTTATACTTCTACATTTATCAAAATATGTGTGTGGATTCAGAAAAGAAATAGTTGTAATATGGTGTCAAAGTATCACTGGGGACCGAAAAGGCAGAGGATATTGTCAAACATCACAGTTCACATAGACCAGGAATTCATCAGAGTGCACATCCAAATTAAATCATTTTTTGCATGCTGTCTTTCACCCTTTCAAGACTCAAAGGAACCACAGAAGATCCTCGATACTATCAGATGCTTAGGCACAATTCTGTAAGAGGACAATACCATTACTGTGGTTATCACGTTAGGGTGCCTGAGCAGTATGTGGGAGGGAGCTGAAAATCAAAGTTCACTGCTGCTGTCAGCCACTATTCCTTTATTAGTAGTTCTGTGATGCTGATAGCAGGCCATACAATCATAACCCCTGAGTGGGAAAGTGAATAGAGGGTGGATAGTCAATCATACTTCATTCACTTTCTTTTGTCCACTCTTCCCCCTAGCTCCTAGTCAATGCTATGTGACAGGAAAGTCCACCCTTCTCTCAGCTTCTGGAGACCAGGGAGTCGGGGGAGAGGTCTATGAAGTCTACGAGAACAGTTTGAAGCAGAAAGCAGACTTTTTTGTTAGTGTATATATTAAAATTTTTTCTCTTTGTTTACCTTGAAATTCATGATGAAATATAGCACACAAGGCATTTTCATTGACTTCAGAAATAGTTCTCACGTTGAACAATGTCAGTGTGGCACTTTCTAGAAAGTGCTGCCTTTAGTACTAGCAGAAAGAACTTTCCAAATGCCATGTTTGAACAAGAACTTCTTAACTATTCCAGACTGCCAACTACACTTTCTTTTTTTCTGTAATGTTATGCCTTCTGTATTTTCTGTCCCTACTTTCTGCACTGCTGAAGTAAAAATCTTTGGTGGTTGTCATAGGTATTTGCCTAAGGCTCCGCACAGTTCAGTCACAGCTGTTACTGCAGGAAATTTAAATGCAGATTGGAGCTGAACATTTAGGAATGCTGTTGAAGCAGATCTATAATGTGCTATCTCTCTATGTGCCTGATGGCACAGTGCACCTTACTGCCTCATAAAACAGCCACGTTGATTTGTGTATGTGTAGGAAGCATTTACAAGTTTTGTAGGTCTGTTTTTATGACAAATTGCTGTTTAATTCGAATACATCTCTTCAATAAAATACCATCATTCCACATTTTGAAGTCTATTTTAGCAGTTCAGATAACATTGACTGAAAGACTTAAGAAAAAACTAAAATCAATCATGTTAGTGCAAGTAAAGAATTACATTGTAATGAGATTTGCAATTATTAAATGTTACTAAAATTGAATATAGTTTTAACATCACGATAGAGCTATCATTATATAATTGTATATTTTAATGCATCTTGAAAAGTACTGTGGTGCAGTGGGAAGTGCATGAATGCTGAAATAAAGGACATCTGGCTGGAAGTCCTGTCTTGCCTCTTAAAATGGAAGTGGCCTTGAGCAAGCCAGCTGTGCCTCGATTTCTATGTCATTCATAGTTACCGGACACATGAAGTTCCAGGCACAGGGCAGGTTCTTCCAACCCACTATTATGAGCCTGATGTGTCTCATTCAGCTTATGCCAGTAGTTTGTTCTCCAGAGCACAGACAGTAGAGGAACAGGTATTTTCCTTTCTTGGAGAATCCAGGTCACTCTCTCCCAGCTTTTAGTGATACCCATTTCCATAGACACTACAGTTTGGATGAGTAAATGTAGGAAGTTTTAACTTGTACATTTTCACATATTCACATGGAACTCTCAGATGCAAAAATGGCTGTGGGAGAAAGCTCTGAAACTATAGACTCATAATTTAATTGTTATTCAGCAACTACGTACAAATTGGTGGTTTGTGCCAGACAGCATACTCTGTGTTATGGAAGTAAAGATCGATAAGATCAGTTCTCTGCCCTTAAGTGGCTCAGTGTAGGGATCCTGTTGTCTGTCTATACTAGGCAAAGCAAGCTTTTGTGTGAAGCTGCCCCTTCAATTGTTCCAGACATAAATAGAGATCACCA